TAAAAGTATTTAAATGATAAATGAATGATATTTGAATTTGGAATTTTTTAGTGATACACACAGAACGATTGCAGTGATGCTAATTAAATATATAAAAGAAATTAAGAAAGAAAAGAAAAAAATAAATAGAAAGTTTCATAGTATGATGACTGATATTATACGATAGCTTAGTATATATGGAACACAAAAGAAATATTAAAATAAATGATAAATAGATAATACATTGTAGATTAAGTAAAGTCATTTTTTGAGATAAATCGAAGATTTAGTGACATTTTAGCGGAAGATAAATCAGTTACCTTCAAAAATTCGTATTACGAAGTAAAAATCTATTCACTTGAATAAAATCAACCAACTCATATTCATTTATGTAATTTCATGTAATATCATATGTATATTTGTGACAGGTTTCAACAGTTGGTGGAATAATTGAATCTGACGCTTTTTCTTGGAACCTCAAAGCTCGTATTCGAACTAATAGATCTTCCCAGACCGTTCTCATACACCCCCTCCCAAACACTACAAACATGAACTAAAATCCTATATATGAAATATATGGAGATAACAAACAGTGGTCCATTCAAACGGTACAAATCAGGGGCAGAGCAAAAACGGACCTCTCAAACATCAGAGGTGGGATTAGGTACCATGGAGGAGTGAGCATCCCCTGCCGATAGGTCACACCCGCCGTGTACTCCTTGTCATGATCAAGAAATAACGGAAAAATCCGTCAACAATTCAGTGTGAAAATAATGGCCTAACAATTAACATGAAAAACATCAGTCAGCATTTGACTTAATGATAGATAGTATTTGATGACAAGGTCATTGTATCGACCATAGAGCTTACGAAATGATAACTTTAAACGAGACTGTTGATTTTCTTGTTTCATCAAATTGTTAGTCCATACCTTACCTCATTTCAGAATTGTTCATACGTAGAGCATGCTCTTGCGTATCGAATCAACTGAGAGATAAAAGCCCTATATATATATAAGCCCGATATATATATATATATATATATATATATATATATAGAGAGAGAGAGAGAGAGAGAGAGAGAGAGAAAGCACAAAGAAATTCACTTTTATAAGGATACCCACTTCCGCCCCAGCCCGGGGTTGAACTCTCGACCTGCGGAATCTTTCTCCTAGCAGTACAGGAACAGAGCGCTAGACCGCTCGGCTATCTAGGCAAGTCAAAAAGCTTGCTTTCGATGCCGATGGAATATATATATATACATGAACTCTATCACTTAAATGTCAACAAGTCAACAGCTTTTTAAAATTCCACTTAAATGTCCTATAAATCTTCCTCTAAAAATGTCCAAAAATTTTCCGCTAAAACTTTCTGTTAATCCGCTAAATTATCTAACACCGTCTCAACAAAGGATTTTTACGACTTATTACTTCTTACTAATTACTTATTTTTCCCCCTGTCTTCCCAGAATGATCCTAGAAGACTTTTGTTGTGATAAGAGCATTTTTATTGTGTCTAGTCAGTAAGTTTATTACTTTTTAAATGATTTTTTCGGCGCTTTGTACCACTTATGTGATGGACGCTAAGGATTTTTAGCTTTTTAATGTTTTTGAAATCAGACTAGGCATTAATTGTAACATGAAAATTATTTTAAGTGGATAAAGAAATCAAACAATGACGTTGTTTATGACTGTACAGATAATCGATCTGCGCATATTCCATCAACGTTATTACCTTCTCAATCAATGTAAATGGAAAACTTTATAATGTGGTTGTTATTGTGTAAAATCTTTGAGGTTAAGTAGTTTAAAAGTAATATATTCTCATTAAGTCACCAGAGAAGAGAGAGAAAGGTGAATGGAAATCGAGGAAGTAAATTCCAATGTGCTCGAGAAAAATATACATTTAATATTCGAAGAACCTGCACTTATATATGTTTATATGTAGTCTTGGAATTATCTCAAAACAACTTAATATATTTACCAGAAAACTTCGATTTTTGATTAATAAACACTAATAATTTATATGAAGTACATTTTTATTTTTACTTTTTAAAATCAAGATAGTAACAATACAATACTGATATATATATATATATATATATATCTATATATCTGTGCCATCAAAGCGATTTTACGATTATATCATTTCTTTTTATTTGGGAGGGGGAGTGAAAATTTTGCGAAGCCTCCATTAATCTTCAGTGGTTTATGAAATCAGTTAGAATAAAAATAAGATAGGAATAACAGTTGAGTTCTAAGCAAATTTAATGTGAATTTCGGCGAAAATATGGTTTTACAGTGGTTTCAATACTAGTATATAGCAAATTAAACGTTTTTTATAAGAAAAATTAAAGAATTCTAAGAATCATAGTTCAGTTTTTGTTTTTATACATTTTTTTTATAAGAATATAAATTGGAAAAAAAAACATATTAAAATTACGAGTTTTGATTGTTCTATTAACCGGTTATTCGGTCGGAAAAATTTACGAATAACCGGTTACAAAAATTAATCCGATTGACATCCCTAGTAAAGAGTAAATGAATGTTCGTGTGTAAGCAATTATAATCCAAGTTTTAATTTAAAAAAAATACTTGGAATGATGAATATCATATACATGTAAGATAATTCGTATTTTAATAACGATATACTATTGTTTTTTTTAATAACTAAGAAAAAGAAGTGATAAAGTTATTTTTAAAGTCATTAGTAAAGATAATAGCTATACACGTCTTAGGTGTGTTGTTGATTTTAATGATTTCTGCTGTTTGTATAATGTGTGTATCATGTTTTGTTTTGTTTTTTTTAAAAAAACAAAACAAAACAGATCAAACCTCAACGCAGATATCTATATCTATATCTATCTATCTATCTATCTATCTATCTATCTATCTATCTATCTATCTATCTATCTATCTATCTATCTATATATATATATATATATATATATATATATATATATATATATATATATATATATATATATATATATATATATATATATTATTTTTTCTTCATTTTTTTAAAAAAAAGTTTATTTTATCTAGATTTGTTCCTATTTGCAAAGGAAAAAAAATTAAATCTGAGGAAAGCTGCAATTTTTTTTTTACAGGTTTTTTTTTAAATATATAAATACAATTCCATAAACAGTATGTTTATTTTTTTCCAAAGTTTTCTGTTTGACAGAAATATAGTAGAAGTTTAAAGATTACCGTTCGTATTGGGAATTGTTCACAACTTTCATCTTTCGTAAGCAAGTGAAAAAAGTTTTAATTTAAAAGAATTGTGATGTTAAAAATTCAGATTTTCTTCCTTGAGAGAAGGACTTCTAAAATTTGTAAAATCCTCCTCTATCAAAATGTTTTTGTAATCTAGTAGTAGTAGTAGTACTGCTATTTTGCTAATGTTTACAATAAAAAATGATCTAAATAAATAAAAATAATATTTCGTCATGTATACATAAGAAAGTATGTACAGTTTACACCGGGGGCGATATTTTCAAGTGTCCTATGAAGATATATTTATTTCCTAGAGTAAACCTGCTAAAATTGATTTTTTTTTTGGATAAACCTAAGACTAATAACAGAAAATGCTGTTGTCGGGATTTAATGATATTTTGTAACATTGGTGTTTTTAAAATTGTCTAAAGCTTTCGCCAAGAAAGTAATTCCAATATAACTTATGCGTACTCCATATCTTATTAAATATCCTTTTTATTATGTGCAATTAACACGATGATTGCAAAAAAAAGTGCATTATTGCGTATTTTTATGAGGTGTAAATTTTTCCCGGAAGACGAAATTAATTTTGCATATGATAATTAAATAAGCAGATTCTTACGACCGTAATGTTGTACTAATGACAACAAATTAGTGTACCTATGTAAAACAAGCGGTCAGTTTAGAAGTCTTAAGTACAATGTGTAGTTGTTTTTGTTAGTGGTCATATAGCTGTCAATATAAAGGTCAGACCCGGTCAAACAATTCCGCCATCTTATCCCACAAAACAGGTGTATTGTATCATTAGCCTAACGTCCCACCCATCAATCAGGGATTACTGCGGGAAACTTCTGTTATAAAAGCCCGCCAGAATCGGGGTCTGGTGCACATTGCCAAAGATCGTGAAAGGAAAGGTATGTGTTCCACCATGTCTATGCAATAGGGATAAAATATTTTAGAACTCTTAATTGCTCTTTTAGAGTGAGAAAATTTTGGCATGCCAAAAGAAATTTTTTTAAAACTAAACTTAAATTTAAGTCCATGCAGAATCATTTTATAAACTGAATTTCATCGAAATAGATAGTTAGTTGATTAGTTGGTTTGAAAACCATAGAATAGTAATAATTAAGAGATAAATCTTTGATAGAAAACTTTATAAATAATTTTTCTGAATTAAATCACTCAAAATGTACGAAAGACCCATATATTTTCTAGTGGCGAAGGGAGTTACAGAATTTAATTTGTAGAAAAAATATTGCAAAAAACTTATAAAGCAAAACAAAAAGAACATACAGTGTATTATGCAACTTAGAAAATAAGAATAACCCGAAAAAAGCCCCAGACGTTTGTTAATTAGGTATTAATCTTACCTATATAGCTAAACCATTAATATACCAACATGGAATAATAATGGTATTTTAGTCATAAGTAATTGATTGTTGTAATGGATTGTTTATGTATAAGCTAGTATTTGGTTAGTTTTGGGGCTAATGGACAGATACTTAAACAAGGCGTTTTTAACGCACAAAGCAATAAACCCTTTGATGTCTTTGGTTTAATGACAAGGGAATTATTGCTAATTAAGATGGATCCTAAAAAATGGATTTGGGCAAAAATGCCATCTATTTAAAGAATATTTCTTCCAATTATAACTCAGATTTTTAATGAAAGGTATATATACAATTTTTGCTTCATCTTAACAATATTTTTTTGTATTCGTTCCTAGATTTCTAATATGTATTCCGTTTCATAAAAATGCTTTTTCTATGTACGGATTTATAAGATGTTTTCTTTTTTCAGTTCAGAATGTCGTCATCAGTTATCCTCCTTTGCTGCCTACTAGGCGTTGCCATAGCAACCCCTTACTATGGCGGATGGAATGACTGGGATGACGATGATTATTACAGAGGAGGATACATTGGCTTCCGGGGCCCATACGGGGGTAGGGGAATAATTGGTGGGTACGGATACGGTATGAATGGGTACGGTAGAGGAGCCATTGGTGGCGCCTATTATAATCCATACTCAGGACGTGGAGGAATTGGAGGTTTCCGTTACGGATATGGCAGTGCTGGTTATCCATACGGTGGCGGATACGGGGGAGGATATGGCGGGATCGGAGGCGGATACGGAGGATACGGTGGTATCGGGGGAGGGTATGGTGGTATCGGAGGTGGATACGGTGGTATCGGAAGTGGATATGGAGGAATGGGATATGGAGGATACGGTGGATACGGACCATCCTATGGATATTCTGGAATTAGAGGAGGAAGAGGCTACCGAGGAGGTATTGGTGGATATCCCAGTATTCGTGGAGGTATTGGCGGATATCCCAATTACAGACCTAACTATGGCTACAAAGGTAAGGGAAAAATAACAGTATATTATCAGCAACTTATAAATTGTAACAAGGACATACCTTTGCTATTTTAAAGAAATCTGTAATATGCAATGTAGCAAAAGTAATACCAGAAAATCGCTAATCCCAGACATTAAAAAGCAATGCAGAGTTTTAATTGATAAACCATTTTAAAAAAAGTTTATAGATGACTAACAATACATGATAGAAATCTAAAGTAAAAGCGGTAGTGTTCAGTTCAAAACAATTCTGATGTTTTATCGTCCTCTTATATATATATTTTATTCCCAGTAATATCCCACATCATGAAAAAAAATGTGTTTTTCATTTCTTTTCCAGGAAAGAAGAATGTGTACTAATTACTCTGACATACTAATATACAAGGCACGTATTTATTTATTTATGAACATTTGTACTTTTCACATAATAAAATATTGAAATTATGTATATGAATTTGAGTTCGTTTCATTTTTTGTTTTTTGGGACGGGGGAGGGGTGTTGAAAATAAAGTTTCCAAAGTTGAAAAATGTAATAGATGTATGGTAGAGATCTTATTTATTTACCATTTATCTCAGGATAGACAATTTTAATTTCTGAATGAAACTTCTTCAAATTGTGAGGAAAAAGACCGACAAACGAAAACTATTCCAGGTAAAATAACATTATATGTATTAATTTGAAATGCCGATGAATACGGAAAAGTTATTGCATACTTGAAAAGCACGAACAAAAATGCTTAAGAAGAAATAGGAGTAAATCTGTCAGTATATACACGTGTATATATCATTTCATACCATCAAACAATAATGATTGTTGTATTGAGCAAGGTAATTGCATTGAATAAACATTGGACATAGTTAAATACATGTAGATAATAGCTTTAAGACACTTGCTTGATTAAACCACAATTATATAGTCAGTAGAAATTGTGAGCTATAAACATGTAGTTGTTTTTTAACATCACAAAATATTTACTCTCTTATTTTGAAAATCATATGAAATATATGGAGCGAAGAGTATTCAAGTTCAAATTCCATTCAAACAATACAAATCAGGAACAGAACAAACATGGACCTTTAAATCATCAGAGGTGGGATTAGATGCCATGGAGGAGTGAGAATCCCCTGCCGACTGGTCACACCATCCGTGTGCTCCTTGTCATGATCGGATGACTAATAACAAACAATCCATTAGATTAAATAGATTTGGGTTTAAAAGCCATTAAGGTAGTCCGATCCTCAGGTTCTGAAAATCAGCTTTTAAGTAATTGAAAATGCTCACAAAAATGTCTTTGATTTCACATAGTAATGTGAATTTACCCATGGAATTTCTTCAAAGTTCATCATTATAGTTAATCATATTATATAGGGAAAATTATCAAATCTCAAATATATTTTCAGGAAATGCGAATAAAAACACCAGCTATGCATTTTCTAATTGAAAATTGATCAACAAACATAATTTAGGATAGAAAAATATAGGTATCCAGGCATTTAGAGAAAATTGCATCTTTTATATGCTTATACAGTATTTTGTTTCTTCTTTTTTACTTCAATTTTCATATAAAACATAGTGTAAAAACTTGTGCTATCATTGCTAGACATCACATATTATCACATCTAATTTCATATCATGCTAATAAGCAGTGGTATCTAATGCTAGACTAAAGGAAATTCTATTTCTTTAAAAATGAATTAATTTTTTTCTTTCATGGGGTACAAATGTCAACTTTTTACAAGACCGTTTCTAAGACTTCAAAGAACCTTGAATCATATTAAGATGCATAAAATGAAAATTGTTGCATGAAAAGATCTCAATTTCAAGCTTCATTTTGAGACTTTTTAAAATAAATCAATAAATTTAAGAGTTATCCTTCCTGGCTGAGAATCGGATATCCTTAAATCGTCAAATGTGGTAGAAGTATCAAAAATGAACCGTTTAATGGCTCTTCTATCTTTATATAGTACGGATGTATAAAAGGGTATTTTACAAATTTTCATCCACTTTATAATGTTTATGTGAATGATTTATCGAAAGATATAAGTAGAGAGAATAATCTGTAAATCACAGTTTATTTATATAGAATTTTATTTTTCGAAAAATTGACAATCGAAAATTTAATTCTCGCTTTATCTATATTACTAAGAATACATTAAACATTAACCTTTGTGGAAAATTGTTCTTGCTTATGAATACCAGGACAACTATCTGACATAAATAAAGTGTAGCGAAAATTTGCTGATGTACAGTAATGTCTTTCTTTTCGTGTTATGCAGAAATTATTCAACCCGCTAAATAAGGTTATGTATTTTTCTGCAATGTTACAACTATTATATCATGTAAAATATAATTGTTTAAAGGTATAAGGGTGAAAATTTTCAAAATCATATTTCAGTGTTTAATACTAAATTTCATAAAACTCTTTACAAACAAAGATATATTGCCGGATCCAGTAAATCTCTACCAAGCCCTTATCTCTATTCCTCACCAAAAAAAATTAACTAGTGTAAAGCAGAAACGTAAGACATTCTGTGGTACAGAATATTCTAGAGGAGGTGTTAATTAGATGTGGATTCTCAAAAACTCCAAAGAACTTTAAGAAAATTTAAAATCACTAAATTTTTCAAAAGTCAGTAACATCAAAACGTACGACCTTTCTACACTTTATACAACAATTCCTTATGAAAAAAAAAACTAGGCTTTTTGATATCATAAACAACTGCTCCTTCAATAAAAATGGAAATGAGAAATTTTCAAATCTTGTGATTGGTCATAAAAATTACTTTGTTACAAATCAGTCTGATTTTACATGTACAATGAAACATGAAGATAACGAACAAGATAAAACATCCATTGAAACAATACAAAATTAGAATAGAGCAGACTTGGACCTCTAAATATATCGGAGGTGGGATCCAGTGCCTTGGAGGAATAAGCATTCCCTGTCGACCGGTCACATACACTCTGCCTCTACAAACATTTACTCTGAAGTTGATATTAAAAAAGATGAGAGTTCCTTATTGACAACATTTATGTAGTCTTTAGAAACCAGGACTTCCAACAAACTGTTGGATTTACGATAGGCTAATTGCGCTCCTTGTTAGCCGACTTGTTTTTATAAGCTTATGAAACAGAATTTATTCCAATATTCCATGAGGAGAAAACTATTGCTCAACATTCAGACCTAATTATTAATTAACAATAATTATTTCCATTCATACGCCGACTCGATATATCCCAGCGAACTCGAAATAAAAGACACCACAGAGTCTGCAACATTTGTTTACTAGTATATGTTTTACTGACTATATACGATAAAGACCAGCTAATAACAACATGCCAATTGTAAGACAAACGATTTTCCACCATCAACTTTTCTTATTTGTGTATTTACAACATTGTTGTATTTCTTAAATATTTGGACATTTTACTAGAAAAAGACGTTAATGGTAACCTAACATTTATGATAAATTTATGATGAATGTGATTAATTCAACTCTCCTATCGTCAACTTCCCTTATGTCGCATTATACGCATATGGGGTTTATATCTCCCAGTTGATTCAATAAGCAAAAGCATGCTCCACGAACAATTTCTGAAACGAGGCAAACTATAGTTTCGACAAATAAGGTGATGAAACGAGAATATCAACAACCTCATTTAAAGTCATCGGTTTGCAAGTTCTATGGTCGATACCATGACCTTGTCAGCAAATACAATATATCATTAAGTTGAATGCTGAATGACATTTTTATACTAATTGTTAGGTCATTATTTACACACTGCATTGTCTACGGATTTTACTGATTGTCCGATCATGACAAGAAGCACACGGCGGGTGTGACCGATCGGCAGGGGATGCTTATTTCTCCATAGCACCTGATCCCATCTCTGATGTTTTTTAGAGGTCTGTGTTTGCTCTGCTCCCGATTTGTATCGTTTCAATGGACTTTTGAGTTTTATTAGTGTTCGTTATCTCCATATTTCTTGTAGTAATATTCCGACTTAACGATAGATTGTATTTGCTAACAAACTCATTGTATCGAGTATAGAATTTGCGAAGTGTTGACTTTAAACGGGACTGTTGATATATTTATATCATAAACTTTTTTGAGAATAGATTGCGTCGTTTTTAAAATTATTCATATGTACATCATGCAATAGGGAGACATAAAATCTATATGCAGGCGATAATGGTATATTGCTATTTAAATAAGGAAAGTTGACAATAAAAAAGTTGAAGTCATCACGTTTATCATAAAGTTTGTTGTCAGTTTGACTAAAATGTCTTTTTCTAGTAAAATATCCAAATGTGAAACAGATGTTGCGACTCTGTGGTATCTTTTATTTTGACTTCAAGGATATATATCAAATCAACGTAGAAATAAAAATGCATATTCTTAGATGATAAAACGTCGTCGACACTTGAAGACCACAGCCAGAGACTTCTGCTTTTCATGTAGAAGTTTTTGTATAAATACTGCTTCATATGAATATACAAAAATACGTCTGCTAATAACGTAATTATAGGAAGTTAAAAATATTAAAGATAGCTATTTCGTTTTTCATATACTATTAGTTTGATAATTTGCCGATTAACGTCTTTTATCAGTAAACCATGCAAATAAAAAAGATGTGGCACACAATGTGGTGTCTTTTTTGAGTTCACTGAGATAAATCGAGTCGTCAGATGAATGACAGTAAATATTGTTGATCGAAAAGAAATAAATATAATTAATTTATAATTCATCAGCATAAAATAGTCAGATTGAAGACCACAGTGCAATTTTTCTTGTTCTTAAGTTGAATTTTTACAAAGATATTTTGCTTCATATTAAGCATTTACAAAACATGTCGACCAATTTTAGCACATGGGAATGCCGACAGAATGTTTGAAGACAAAGAATGTTGTTAAAGAGGAACTCAGTCATTTTTTTTTATATCAAAGTATTTGTGTGAAGAATAAGATTAATTTTTAAGAAAGTAATTTGTGGATCAAAACGTCGCGAGAAATAATTGTATAAAGTGTTGAAAATTAAAACAACTGAATACTTTTGAGTTACATCTGATTTAGCCAAAAAGATTTTCCGAAAAGATTTGCTTTTTTATTGAAGCACCAATGGTACACGTAAAACAATGGAATAATTAATTTTGATAATTAATGTGGACAACTGAAAGATAAGCTAGACATGCATGTTGTAATCACAACCAAAAAAAAACAGACAACTATCTGATCTTTACCGTAAAAGACAATTCATGTCTGATTTTTTGTCACACTTTCTAAAAAGCTCTTCTAATTCATAATAAATTACAACAAACTCTCATTACCTTAGAAATAGAACAAGAAACATTAAACAATGAATAGCTTATCTTGAGAAGGCCACGACCTTATAAGCAGTATAAAATGA